TAAAAAAGATTTGATTCTCGAAAAAAAACTATTCTCTTACGTGGGAAATTTTCTTTTTAATATTATTATCTTCTTAATCATAATATAATATGATTATATCATCATAATTTCGTATAATACTTTTTATATTTTTTTATCGTAAAAAATGTCTTCGACTACCTCCGACGAATCTAATGAAAATGAACCATCCGAGAAACAGCAAAGATTTCCCGCAATTCTTATAATTGGTGAAGTTGGTCTGTCTCCCAAATAAGTTATAAACTGTTTAATTTTCATAATTAATAATTTCTTTTCTAAATATATAAACCTTTACCTTTTCTTTATCTTTTCCAATAGGTGTCGGGAAAAGTACTGTGGCCAATATGATGCTTGGCAGACATCGTGATGGTAGTCCACTTACGGTATCTTTTTTAATATATTTAATATGTTTAATATATGTTAATATGTTTTATCTGATTTCGTTCAATGTCATTTATAAACTTGTTTCTTATTTATTTCTTTAGAAATCAGGCGAAGTCCAACCATATCCAATTAAAATAAATGAAATAGATTACATTCTAATTGATACCCCGGGTTTAATACCATCTGATGAGCAATCAAGTCGTGATTCAAGTCGTGACATTATATCACAAATTGATGAATTAATTCAAAGTATAGATCAGTACCTTGAAATTGTTTCAATTTTATTGGTTTTAGGTTTGTATTTAAAGTGTTTAAAATGTTTAAAATGTTTAAAATGTTTAAAGCGTTTTAAGTTCTTACAAATTCCTTAATTTTTTTTAAAATTATTATTTATTAAATTATTTATTAAATTATTATTTATTAATTAATTATTATGATTTTTTTTTCTTTAAGAATCAAACAGAATGTCTAAAGCCCAAAAAGAAAATTTTCGACAAATTGTAAATGCTTATTGGAACATTATAATAATAGTATTCACAAAACGTACACACGATCAAACAACTTCAAGGCAATATATGGAGACTACATTTGATACTGAATTAAGAAGAACTGTTGGTAAACGTGGTATAATTACTGGTCGTTGGGTAATTGCTCCAAATCTTGAATTATTTCCTATGCCGAATAATCACAAAGAGAATGAACATGTCGTGAAAAATATGGATTTACTTAATAAATTGATTGATTCTTTAACTCCTCCAAAATATCATATTTCAACTGGTGATCCTAAGATAACTATTTTAAATAAACATGATTTAGAACGTGGATATATTTGTGGATTACATAAAAGATCTTTTACTGAACTTATTATAGGCTTTTGTTTATTCTTGATTGCCTCTACTCTTGGTTTAGCTTATATACTTTATTTCGATGTTATTGATGCGTCTCCTTATAGATGGGTATTTGGTGGTTTCGGTATTGCTTCAACTGTTTTATTCTTTATTTTCATTATGGGTGTTTATTGCGTTAGAATTAATCAAGTTCACGGAATTTAGTTTTTTTTT